AAAAAAATAATGACCAAAATACCCCTTGAAACTTTCAGGGGTATTTTGGTCATTTTATTTTTTTGTAAAATATTTTTTTATATTTTTCGTTAGTGCGAGTTTAATATAGGAATGTATGTCCAAAATTTGGTGTCAAAACAGTTTATAGAAAAAATTAAAAATAAAACAGTGTAGAGACGGGACATTGTGATTGGGGCAATCTTAGCCCTCCATTCAAAAATTGACGGTTGGATAAGGGGGAACATAGAACTTCTATGTTGTAGGGGGAACATAGAAAGCTTTCCATCTTATAATTGATGCCAATGTTACACAGATTTGGTGTACCTTGCTGTTTGCCATGTCTAATTGCATAATTATCAGAGCCCATTAACATGCAGGATTCCTAAGAGTCCACTAACATGCAGGATTGATAACAAGGGGGGATAAATTCACAGTGCTTCTGTTTTACCTTCAACATCCAAATCACCACATCCAACAGATTGTAACTCTTTAGCGAGCTCCCGAGTCTTCTCATAGGCAACAGCTAGGATTCTAAGATACTGCACAAAGTTTTAGACAAGTAAAAAGATAGATGAAACCATTCAGTAAATCAATGTAAAAATGACAGGTGAAACCATTCCAAAGAATAATGTAAGTATCCAAGACGGGGGCAAGTTATAGGCCATGCTACTTGGCTCACCAGCAATAGTCCACCGTCTTCAACAGGAGGTAAGTTTACCAGAGATGGCTTCAGCAATAACTTGTCTAAAATGGCTGTCACCCTTTGCTCTAAAACTCGCTGCGCAACTAGACAATATTAGGATATAGGTAGAGACCTTAACAATCAATAGTTGTCCAAGAAAGGTTCGTCTTTCAGCAGTAACAAGGATAGTAAGATTTCTAAGTTAAATTATCCAGGATACCTGCACCAGAATTGCCATGACTTCATCAGGAGACGGAAAGACAGCCATTATTATGGCGGCTTCTTTACGCACAGTTTCTGAAAAGTCAAAAAATGGAAACTGGTCACATCCTAAGGAGGGTGTACGTCTCATCAATCTAACCTTAGAAGAGTAAGAAAGAGAATAACCCGTAATTTCTTTGTATACTGCTGAGAGACCACGGGCAACATTTGTAGGACCTGCTTGCAAACCTTGATCCCCAAGAACCATCCTTGCATCCGCATTCATTACCTCTACATCAATGAACATTGATCGAGAAGCCACATAGCGCTGCATGGCACTTGTTCCTCTATTAAACTACATATAACAGATGTAGTGAGAAGGCCAAATTGTTTGGCCATAGTAAATGCAAATTCCTAATACAAGGTGATATTTGAAGGCTCAAAAGCTTTAACTTCCAGAAACTTTATGTTAAATGAGTTGTATAACAAATAGAATAATCCATCCTAAAGATTTTTAACCATGCCCACAGCTAAAGAGAAACAAATTGCTTATAACTTGAGTAGAAATGAATCCATGGAATTGTCAAAATAACAATCATATAGAACAAACTTTGTGGTAGATACAAGAGCTGGACATTTTCAAAAGGAAACCAACCTGGAAGCAAATCAAACTGAAAAATTCAAAGAGAGGCATGGAATCATCATCAAAGGACTCCGCATATAAGCTTTTAGTTCAAGACGGTGCTATGTAGGAGCATTACTTTGAGACTTTTTCTTGACACCAAGATAAAATTGGTGTGGACACTTTTCTATGTAAGCTATATCCTACACCCACCAGTAATGGTATAAACCTAAATTTCAGTAACGTCATGATCTTGTGACAAGAAGTGCATCTATCATGTGATGTATGAAACTTTAAAGATTTAAGAGGAGCAAAAGCAGTGAACTCAGGGCAAAGTATACTAATGAGGTAAGTTCATGATTATATGTGGCTATAGTGCAATAACCTCATAGACCATTATATAGGGCAAGCACATATAAGAGAAGCAATCAACTCTGAAAACGCCGCCAGCAGTCTTGCATGAAAAAACGGAAACATTAAAGAGAAAAAAAAAAAAAGTAAGATGAGATCACTAAAAAGTACAGTGGTAAGTCAATAAGGTTCTATAGTGTCACTGTCCCGAATGTTGGGGTGGGTAGGAGGATCTAGATGCCAAGTACAGGTCATATCAAAGTCATGTTTTTCTACGGGACTCGTCATAAAACACAAACATCATGATGGAAAGATATGGATGGAGCCTCTAGGTTGTTGGGGTCGGGAGCAAATCAAAAGCGGGAGGTGGAGATTGTGAAAGGCTAGAAGATCCCTATGGTTGAGTCGTCCTTACAATGTATATGTTAGGGATCAAGTTCCCTAAAGGTTAGGGATCTTGATCCCAACCTTTTGGGATCTTGATCCTCATTTCTTGAGGATCTTGCTCCTAATCTTAAAGAGTATATATAGTCTTAGACCTATTAATGTTCTTTAAAGTAGGGATCTTTCTGTTTATAGCTAGCAAGCAATGCAACTATATTGAAAGCACAGTTGCATTGCTAGCGGGTTTAAAGATCATCATTTTGGTTGCTATCTTGATCCTAAAGGTGAGGATCGAGATCCCTATTCCCTAATAGTCGGGATCAAGACCCCTAAGAAGGGAGATTGAGATCTTGAAATTTAAATTCAAGATCCCTTTGCCGAAACACAAGATCGAGATTCTGGAAGGGACTCGCAACATAGGTTGGGGGATCCCAGAAACAATGCTCTAGATTATGATTTTGCAAGGCCATCTGCAGCTTCGTTACCCTCCAGAAAGATATGGGCAAAATAAATGACCATGTTCTCACATAACCCCACATCTCCTTCATCAATAAAGCAAGCCTCCGCAAGCCCAACGGTTCCACTGTAACCCATCCAAGGGAAACCAAGAACGTTGGTTCCAACTCAGGTCCCAGCCAAAACTGATTATGCCATTGCTACGGTTTCATCGATAACCCCTAATTAGACCTTATAAGGCATCACCATCCTCTTGGGCAACCCTGCCAACCATAGGCTTCCCCAAGCTCTTCCATTGAAGCTCAATTCCAAATGTCCATTGAAGCTCAGCTGGAATCTGCCACAAGACCACTTTTCTATGTGCAGGCAGCAGTCAGCCAAATAGCTCAACCCACTCAACAAATCCAATGCAGTATACCCCGTCAATTCATGGGGATCAGGGCCCAAGATATAACCATCTCAAAATAGGATGTGTTTTCACATGAAACACTCAATTACTTCTTTCCTTCTACATCATAGCCTGCAACCCAGATCAGAAAACCATTAGTCACTAGGTCTGGGTCGACCCAGAGATTTGGTTGGTTGACCAGGTTTCTAACATATTATGTAAAAGAGTATTTTTTTTTAATATATTTTTCAAAAATGACATGAACAAAACCCACTTCGGGCTTTACCCTAAGCTGACCCAGTAATGGATATGCTTGGTTTGACTCAAGTGAGTCCCAGGTCAAGCCACATGTTTTGTGAGCCATGCTCCAAATGCCCTAGAAGATCCCCAAAGTACACAACTTCCACAACAAATCTAACTTTCCCCAGAAAAGACAAAGATCAAACCAACCAGTTATTATTCTATCTGGACCTACATTCCAATTCTATAGAACGGAAATAAGATACACAACAATTTCAATATAGAACACATCTACATATTGTGATTTTCAGAACTCAGACATTAAATCATCCATATATTAATTTCTTCCTATTAGGAAATGTAAAAAAAAATTGCCACACCTTAAAAAGCAAACCAATACGAACAAATCAAACAGATAAAAAACATAATAAAAGAGAACTAGAATTTCAAGGCAGGTAGCATGCATGTTACATCTTTAGTAAACTAAAATTGGCAACCACTAATTATATTCATCAACAATAAACAGGAAAATAGTTTACACGCTTTCGAGATATTCCCATTTATCCAGTTGGGTGAAAAGACTTTGAAATATCATTTGTAGTAAAGAAAGAACTCATATTTTTAAAAGTAAATAGATAAAAAAATATAATAAAACACATTAAAAAAACAAACAAGTGAAAATCATAATAAAACCAACCTGAGACAAAATGTTAGCACATTCTGCCATTGTTGATAGTTCTCGCCTCTGTGATGCAGCATCAAACCGAGACAGCAGCCTATTTTCCAGTTCTAAAACATGGCAATATCAAACAACGCAACAAAGAACCCTCTCAGGATAAACAAATAATAAATATTACATCATTAAAGAAAATTCAGGCATTGTAACTTTTTACAAGTGAAGAGGAAAATTAAGGGACAGTTTGGGTGTACCCAAAATCCACATCTTTTCAGATGACCAGTGGAAAAACTTTGTTAAATGGTGGAAAACAAAAATGTTTGGATAAACATTATAAAAACTTCAACTTTCAGCATTTGAAAGAATTCAAGTCAGACTTGAATTCTTTCCAGATGAGAAGCTATTTCACTTTTACCAATCCATGTTTTTGCCTCTCTCTCTCTCTCT